CTGTGGCCCGGGAGTGCAGTGGAGGATGGCCCGAGTGCTTGGGCCCTGCACCCCATGGGAGACCAGGAGAAGTACCTGGCTCTTGCCTTCAGATCAGTGCGGCGCGCCAGCCACGGCGGCCATTGGAGGGTGAACCAACGGCAAAGGAAGACCTTTCTCTCTGTCTCTCTCTCTCTCACTGTCCACTCTGCCTGTCAAAAAATAAAATAATAATAATAAAAAAAAGATTCCCATGTTCCACAGAGGACCAGCTGGGTGTCCCACAGAGGTGATTTCCACCTCCGGATCCTACCTCCAGCTTCCTGCTGTTGCAGACCCTGGGGAGCAGGGGTGACGGTTCAAGTAGTTGCTTCCTACCACCCATGTGAGAGACCTGCATTGAACTCCCAGCTTCAGCCTCAGCCCTCCCCAGTCATTGCAGCCATCTGGGGAATGAACCAGCAGATAAGAGTTACAGTTCTCCTTCCCTCTGTCCCTCATCTCTCTCTTCCTTTCTGTCACCCATCCTCTCCTCCTCCCTCTCAAGTAAATCAATAAAAATTTTAAAAATCACAGAGTCAAAATCAAAGTAGAATGACATTCCTCCACATTCTTTTTCCTTTTTCTGGGAATAAAGCTTTATTACAAAGAAAACCCACTTTACAATATTCCCCAAGAAAGATAAAATAGCTCCTTAATGCTTACTATAGGGCAAATCTTGCAATTAGAACTACTCACTTGAAGTGCTGAGGTTGTATAATGCTAACAGATAACTCTATAATGCAAGCAGTTTTTAAAAGTCATATTTAACTTTTCATTATTACTGTATGGAATGCTGGTGGTGCCTGTTCATTCTGGGACAGATTTGTAATTCCAGGAAGGGAACAGGCTGCTGCCTGCTAAGGCATCCCTCGATTCTGCCTTTAATTCTCAAAAGACCTGAAGGAGGACTCTAAAGTAGACCTTCCTTCATCTTTCTTCCTAAATGTGCTTGTTTTTATTTAGAAACCAAAAGATGAGGGATCCTTTCTGTTCTGTAATTATTTCAAAAAGCACAGATTGGAGAGAAGTCTGCAATGGTGCATGTGTGTGTTTGTGTGTGTGTGCATCTGAACATGCAAGTGTACATTCACACAGTGTGTGGCTTTCTTTAAGAAAATGAAATGAACCAGAAAATAAGCCCTTTACAGTAACCTAAGAAATAAAACAAAATCATTTACAACACATGGGATTGTTGCAGGATATGTCAAGATTAGGTGGTTTAAGGGAGCCATCCTGAATGTGGAAGCAATTACAATGAAATTCATGACTCATTAGCAAACATTCCATATTGTGTTTCTCATTTCTGGGTCAATGATACTAGGAAATATAGACTTAAGATTTAGATGTTTCATTGACTCCAGTACTAGATTATAGATAGTTGGACCATACAATGACATAAAGCACAGACTCTAGAGTTTTAAAGTTCTTCATTTTTCAAATGTAGTAATTCAGTCCTTGAGGTAACTTCACAAATGTATTGGTAAGAATTAAGATGGTGAGAGAAAGGTTGTCTGTAAATATAAAGTAAGAATTACACGATGCAAATATGTACTGGCGATGTCAGTGGGATTTTGCGTGCACACTGCTTGGTATGCAAAATGGCTGGTGAACTCAAGTACCCAATACTGTATGTAATGGGAACCAGATGTCTACCAGAGAGAGAAAAATATTTTATAGCAATAAATGTGACATTGACTCTTAAAGGGTTTGCTGTTTTTAAACAACTTCCTAGTCTTACTTTTCCTCATCTTTTAAAAAAGTTTAAAGTAGATTGTGTAAGGAAATTATTTTCATATTTTAAAAGAAAGAGTACTTAACTTGCCACTAACTTCCAAAATGCATACATAAGGAGAAATGATCTGAGAAAGATAATTTTGGAATTCATTCATTTACCAAAGCACCATGCTCAGCAATGCAAAGAAAATATGAAGGCACATAAAGCATAATTCCTCCTGCCCTGAAGGAACTCAGAGTACACTGGATGCAACAGGATGTGTGCAGCTGTGTGGGGACAGCACAACCCTAGGAAAGAAGCAGAAAGTGCTCTGCGAATCAAAGGAGGGAGAGAAAACCCACAGCTTGGGAGCCCATGAAGGACGGTGACACAGACTGACCTCCCCCTATGGCTCTCACACGACCTGCTTCTGCACTGGCTCTTAGGCCACCTTGGTGAAGACCCTCCTGCTCTCTTGCCCGGCCACAGCCATGGTCTCTGACTCCATTGCTACTGCTTCCCTTCACTCACTCCCAGTGCAACCCCAACTGTGCTGCTGGACTAGCTTTTTTGAGCATTGATCTGTCCCAGATGTGGGGCACCCCAAGTTCTGGGGCTGTGCCTATGGTCCCCCTTCTCTCTTTACCATTTACCCTTTGTGACCTTGCAGAAGTCATTTAAACATTCTCCCTCTCCCCATATTCTTTATGCTGCAAAAGTGCGTATCTCATGAGCCTGGGGTCAGGATTTAGCTAGGTTCTGCTTTGCTCCATGCCAGCATGGAGTCAGAGCACTGTTAGAAACCTTTTTAGCTCTGATCCTATCAACCATCCAATCTGGTTTTTTAGGGCAGCTACAGTCCTTATTTTGCCATGCCAGGCACTTGCTTACTTTTCCAACTCTTTCTTTCAATGCCTTTCCTTCCTCAAATATCAAAGTCACTAGCCATTTTTTCTGCCTGTCATCATCCAAGCAGATCTGTGCTCAAGTCCCATGCTTGTGCATAGGCTATTCCACCTATCTGGGGTATTCAACCCTCTATTAATCTACAAAGCAAGCTCAGCCAGGTCTCCCCTCTAGTAACTTTTGCTGAACTTCCCTGATACTGTGTGAAATAATAAGGCCCTCTTTCTAAACTCTCCTGGCCCACACAGATATCATAAAGGAGTATAGTGGTCCAGGCAGTACAATGGGGAATAGTAGGAACTGTGGCAAAAAAAACACAACTTACTCCTTTGCCAAAAGATCAGCCACTCCTCATTTTTGCTATGATGGTATGAGGGCTCAGTATTGACGGTCCCTCCACTGTTCTCCAGAAAAGAGAGAAGTCTGCATTTTTTAACTAAAATCCCCAGTTGTTCAGTGTTAGAAACTAAAATTTTCTTTAATGTCATAACTTTGGAACAAATAAAAGTCCTTGGGGACCAAATGATTAACTGTGTAGACCCTGTCCCTCAGAACATCTTATTCTGGGATACCCTTCCAGATGCATACCTTCTTCCTGCCCAATTTGACTTCGCTCCAGTACTCTGCTCCTCGGAGAAAAGAACCACGTTGGGCTATCTTTGTCTTCCCAAAGGGCCCAGTGTGGTGGGTGGTTCAAAGAAGCATCTCACTAAATTCCAAATGGATACTTTCTTGGGCCAGGGGAGGGTCAATAGATGGGAGGTCATCTCAGGAAGGACAAAGGATAAAGTCACTCATACTCCAAACATCTCTGTCTAGGAAAAAAAGGCTCTACAGAACCGTAGGCTTGAGTCAATACTAACTTCCTTAGAATCATCTGGAGTCCTTCCAACAATAGCTGAGTAGCCCAGTCTTTGGTTATAAATCTCATCTATAAACCCAATCTATATATAAACTTAATCTAAATCTGGCATGTATGTGAATGACTAAATGAATTATTTAAATTTTTTAAAGAACCCCAATTCAAATGCCAGGTGTAACAATGTTTTAATTTCACTGGAACATGACCACAGACCCCTCCTGGACTCAGAAGGAAATACTTCGTCTCTAACTCTGCACTCAAGAATATGGAGAAGCCTCGTGTGGGGAAAATTAGAAGATTTGTTGACAGCAGTGACAGTACATGTTTTAAGCATTTTTCAATGCTCATAATATTTGATCCAATCGTGCAATCTATAGGCATTTATCTCAAGAAATAATCATGTACGAATACTTGACAATAGAGACGTTCATTGCATTCTATTAATCGGCTTGTTACATGAGCAGTAACAGAGAAGTACCCTCATGATTACAAATAGAAGGTAAAATCTACTGCCCACTTACTTGTATGACAGACAATGTGCTGGTGCACACATCATTTAATTTATTGTTATGCTCATCTTGCAGATGAGGGAACTGAGACAGTATGTTTAATTGACCCAATCACACAGGAAATGAGTGTCAGGGCAGGCATTGGATCTCCAAGCCACTTAGCAACAACGATCTCAAATTTCTCCTACAAACTGCACTTCTCTAAGCATTGAGGCATCTACAGCCATCGCTGCAGTCACCAGAATCATAATCCAGATGAGCTTGTGATGATACAGAAAACACTGGTGCGTATTCAGTGAAAACAGCTAAAAAAAGCACAGTTATCTTGTACAAATTGTTGGATACAAATATCGGATCGCCACGGATGGTGCTCTGGTGGAGCAGCTCCTGCAGGGCTTAGCGAGAGGGTGTCAGGAGTCTGCCCCGGAATTCAGTCACCACTCTGTCCACTCTGTCTGCTTCCTCTGCTTGTCTTGTGAAAACCAGCTTCTCCAGCTAAGCTTTGGACTCGAGATGCAAACTCTAATCCCACCTCGGAGCGATAACATAGCCCCAGGCCCAGAGAACGTCACACTTACTCCCAAGGAAAGAAGGGAACTAACCCAGGCCATACAGCAGCCCTGTCCCAATCAACTGGGATCAGGGACGAAAGTTATATAAAACCTGTTTTACGAAACAGTAAGTGGTTTGGAGGTCAAACGGATTATCTAAGTAGTGATGCTATTTTTTACATAAAATAATCATAAATATAGAGAAAAAAGATGAGAAGGAGCCACATCTAGGCATTACTTACATGTATATCTTCAGTGCTTCTTTTCTACTTCTCTATGTGCTAGAAATTTGTCTATAGCAGACACACATTTCTTTTGTAGTAAGAGGAGAAGTAGGGCCTAAATCTGAATGGGAGTTGAAAAAGGGCTGTCCAGACTGAGGGCTCAGGTGAAGAGGAGAGCAGTTTCAGGGATAATGCAATGTAGGAAACACTTACCAAAAGAGGTGAGCATCTGATCAGCAAACTCAACCTGAACGTCCCTGGGCTGCAGCAGATCTCACCACAAAGATGTGAATGGTGTCCCTGGTGGGGATTCTAGGCATGGTGGATCATGCCTTCAGTCCTGTGGTACTGTGCTGGGCGCTGGCTCCTAGGCTAAGACAAGTCAGGGCAGAGAAGAAGGGCAGGAGTCACATGACATGTGAGCAGTGATTTGAGAGGGCACAGGAACACTCACTGCAAACAAGCAACTGCGCAATGAAACAAAGAAGGGCAGAAGGAAATTCACTTTTGTGACAAAAATGGCCATTGAGTAGCAAATAAGTAGGGAAGGGGAAAAAGAGGTCAGACCATTTACTTCATAGAAAGGACAAAGACATGGCCAATGACATTAAGGGAAGGGGAAGAATTTTAGAGTCACAGCAGAAAAATGTAACCGAAAGCAAGGACAGGTGGCAGGACCCTGGTGAGACAGGGGAAGAGAAGACAGGTAGTGAAAAACGTAAGTTAGCAGGAACAAACTCATGGACTTACAACAGGTAGTAAGAAGATCACTCTCTCCAAGGTCAAGGAATGTTGACCACTGTTGTCCTATGTATCTCTGATGCTCTCCAAATGATACGTGGCCACAGGTCTTCCTGACCGTCTCCTGCCTGTGACCTCACACACGCAGGTAGACACTCTTCCATCTCCTCCCTCACCTGGCAAATGGCTACTGCATGAGTTATCACTGAATACTTAATTGACTTGGATTACTTCAGGGTGATTAGGAGGTCGGGAGCGGCCGACACAGGATGGGCCACGGTGGCAGCTTGAAGACATGTCCACAAGTTCTTCCGCACTCCTCCCATACAGGAGAGCTCCAGTGACTCAGCTGAGACAAAACAGAAAATTCAGCTTCTACCTTGTTCTCTTCCGAGACTCATCTTTGGTGTCCTGAGTGGCCATGTAAGGAGCGTGAGGATGAGACGCTGTGCGAAAGACCCTGAGCAGGTGTCCCAGCTGACAGCCTCTGCTAAGGTTGCCACGACGCCAGCATCAGCCATCAGACATGTGATCCAGGAGGTTTTAGAGAGGGCTCCAGCCTCGGCCACCACCAACCCCATGGTGGTGAGAACCAGACAGTCCCACTCAGAGCCCTGAGAGACAAAGATAAAATGCTTGCTGTGGCTTTACGGTAGTACATTTTAGGGTGATTTATCAGGCAGAAATGGATAACTGGATCAGACATCATTGGTTCTCAATAAATATCCATAAAGTTGGCTCAAACAGCAGATAAGAGAAGGCAACATTGTCTCTTGATCTTTCTCTCCCTTTTTATCATAACTTCTAGTCCTAGCCACCCCCCCTTTTTTTCTCTCCCCAAACCCAGAATGCTCCCAGTTTTCTATGGCTAGGGAAATTGTAGAAGAGAGCTACCATGCAGAGAGCCTGGGTGCTCCCCACTCCTGTACAAGGCCTTTGTTTTCTCTCTTTGGACATAAAGAAATCCAATTCCTTTTTTTTTTTTTTTCAAAAGCAGTTATCATTTTTTTCCACTCTTTCCTGACCTTATTCTTTCTTCCTGAGTGATCTTCCAGTCTCTGCACCCTTTCTAGGTTGTAAAAGGAAGAACAAGATCCCTACCCAGTGATGATCTTGGCTCTAATCACCCTCATCTGGAGAGCACTGTTATTTTTGGCCACCTTCAGGTCTTCTTGTAGCTGTTCCGCCCATCTGCTGCAGGAGCTCCCACTCACTTGCCTGGCCAGCACAGGGGGTCTGCAGACGGCAGCTGTGTCAGGAGCCTGAGTGGGAAGGCAGCAAGCAGGGTGGCCAGAGGCATCACAGTGAGGATCCAGCTCCAGCCGAGGCAGTGTAGGTGGGAATGCTGAGACCCTGGGGCCTGCAGATCACCCAGCTCAGAGTGGGAGTGACTCAGAGGGCCGTTGCTGAGCAACTGACAGAGCTCAGACGAGCAGGGACCTGCAGGCACCGGACGAGCCGTTTCCCCCACCCTCTGTGTAGAAGGGCATAGTCCATCTGTGTTGCCCCTCGGGGTGGCCTGGAACATTACCGTGGAATGTCAGCCTGGGACAAGCCCAGGTGGGCGCATGTCAACAGATCCTTGACCTTGCACAAACGCACAGAATTCTGGGCAAGCAGAGTGCTGCTGGGCAGAGGAATGAAGAAGCCACCCCCCAGGAATGGCAAGCACGTTGCTAACAGGATTGGCTGGCCACACCAGCAGCAGGCAGAGCAGTATCATCTCAGGTCAAGGAGAAAGCCCCACAGCCAAAAATAGCCACCCTTGCAGTTGCCACCGTTCTAAAATTATATCATTGAAGGTTTATTCTGTGCGTCTCACCTTCGCTGGAGGCAGGTCTGGGGAGGACCCACGATATGTCCTCACGTGAAGGGGGAAAAGCTCTGACATCTCCACTGTGCTTTCTGGGGATGGGAAAGGAGGCAGGTGTTGAAAGGGCAGGAACAAGGCAGAGGAAGTGCTGGTGAGGCCTGGCAAAAGGCAGCTTCTCCTGTTTCAGAGTTTTACCCAGAAGGAGCCTGGCTGGCAGCAACATCATAAAACCAAGGCCTACACAAGTGCCAATAAATTGGAGCCACGCATGTAAACAATCCTGATAATTTATGCCTTGAAATGTCTTTACAATACATCATTATGCAGAGCTGCACACGCCTCTGCTCCAAATAGCCTAAACAGGAAAAAAGGTGCATGATGGGGCAATTAAAAGGAAGAGCAAGAGGCAGTGTCAGGAAATAGTATGCACCCACGGCACCACAGTGTAGTGCTCAGGCCGGCTCAGCCAGGCCTCCAGGTCTGGGAAGTGCAGGCAAGGACTTCGTCTTTATGGATAGAAGTTAGCCTGACCCCAGGAGATTTAGCAATCCACAAAATCAAAGCAAACCATCACTGCCGGAAAACCACTTCCAGCTCCTGTATCACAAAGCAACAGTTTTGCATGATTCCATTTTTAAGGTCCTTAAGAAACACACAAGAATTTCAGGAAGGTAAATCCACTCTGCTTAAGCCACCTCTGTGGCAACGAGTAAAGTACCTTGGCTGCCAGTGGTGGCCTTTAGAAAGGAATAAAGTAGCAATCAGAGGAAGTAAGGTAGGACAAGGGGAAAGCGGGAAAGACCAAAGCATGCTGATTCCTACAGGAATAACCAACATCTCCACACCATTTGACAGTTTATAAAGAACTTCTACATAACTTTACCTCTGATCTCCAAAACCTTCACAACAAGGAAACTTGGCTCTCATTCTAAAAAGGCCACTCTGAATGATATCCCAAGGTCACCTAGCTGGTTAGTTGGATACAAGGTCAGGTCTTGAAACTCAAGTCTTGCTAGTTGCCTAAATCCTCTGCTTTTCTTACTCCAGGAGTCTTTTTTTAAGATTTATTATTTATTTATTTGAAAGTCAGAGTTACACACAGAAGGAGAGGCAGAGAGAGAGAGAGAGAGAGAGGTCTTCCATCCTCTGATTCACTCCCCAGTTGGCTGCAACTGCCAGAGCTCCGTGGATCTGAAGCCAGGAGTGAAGAGTTCCTCTGGGTCTCCCATGTTGGTGCAGGGGCCCAAGGACTTGGGCCATCTTCTACTGCTTCCCCAGGCCATAGCATAGAGCTTGATTGGAAGTAGAGCAGCCAGGTCTCGAACCGGCGCCCATATGGAATGCCAGCACTGCAGAAAGCAGCTTTACCCACTACACCACAGCGCCGGCCCCACTCCAGGAGTCTTTGGACAAGTTTCTCCTGGATCAACTGAGTCACTCACTGTGACTTCTCAACATTGATTCAGCCACACGCTGAACACATAGGAGTGAGCCTCGACTACTGTGGGCATTTTTCTGCAAGCAGGAGTTCACCTTCACAGAAATTTCACATAACTGAGCCCTTAGCCACCAATCACAGCTGTCACCTTTTAGGAGGGCCACTTCTGCCCATGCAATCTCAAGCGGCTCCTGCCGTCCTGTCCTGGTCACTCTTAATACTCAATACCATCTGAAATTCCATTGTTCGGGTGTGCATTTATCCTTTTATGGCCTGCTTCTCTCTCCACATACTTAGGTTTTCAGAATAAAAACCTAGTCTCATTCAAAAATGGCTCTCCAGATTTAGAACATAGTAGGTGTCCAACAAATAAGTACATAATAAGCATTATCTGTCCAATAAATGACATTGAACATCAAGTACAGCTTTTTTCCCCAAGCCTACTGTTGTCTGAAATAGTATGAGAATGCATACTTCAATCATCTCACTTAGTCAAAATCACAGGTTCCTTCCATGATTTGCGTGCAGCTTGTCCCTAATGGATTCACGTATTCGGAAGTTTGGTCCTCAATGTGGTGGTATTAAGAGATGGTGCAACTTTTAGGAAGTGAGACTTGATGCAAGGTCATTGGAGATGCTGTTCTCAGAAGATATTAGTGCAATTCTCATGGAACCCTGGTTAGTGCACGAGAGAGCAAATTGGTCCCTCCTCCTTCTGACTTCCTGTCTCACGTGCGGCCTCTCACTCGTGTACTTGTCCCTGCCGTGGTACCAGGTGCCATGAGGTGACCCAGCCAAGGAGGGGCCTCACCAGAGTGGAGCTGACCAATCTTGGACTTTGACCCACCAAGACTTACCCAGCCTCTGGGACTGATCCACTGCCAGAATACCCGATCTATAAAGAACATTGGGATGAAACAATAGTGAAGAAAGTGACTGGGAGAAGGAAAGCTCAGTCTGAAGTGGCTGTATCTTGTGCCACTCAAGGCAAGAACAAGGGCCATCTTGTGATGCTAAAAGGCAACAAATTTAAAACAAATAAAAGGAAATACTTCTTAAAGCAGCATATAATCTACCTGTGGAATTCATTGCCTCAGGATATTATTGAGGCAAATAGTCTAGCAAGATTCAAGAAAGGATTAGACATTTATATGAACAGGAATAATATTGGCAGTTGCACTAACCAGGTTAAAAAGTTACAAGGCATGTCCGTCCTGAGCTCCAGGGCATAAGTGTCCACCAGCTGGGGTGAAGGAGGAATTTCCCCCTGTGACTGGGCATTGCATAATTGGCCAGATGCATGAGGCCCGTAGTTCTGCCGTCTCCTGTAACTCAGGAAGGGACGGCTGCTGGGGAGTAGTTCCTGGGGCAAACGGACCAACGACCTCTAACATGGTGTTTCCGTCTTCCGTGGCCCAGTCCTGAAGAGGAGGTACAGAATTTGCAAAATTGAAGTTTTCCATTTTGGAAAGCAGAAATGGAAAAAATAACTTCCCTCTTCCTGATGATGAAAATATCTCACAGAAGGAGATCATGCCGTGGCTGTAATCTTGTTAGCGCCTGGCTGACAGTGGCAAGAGGACGTCTGAGTTCTTCCAAACATCAGCACGTAAGAGTCCTAGTGGAATCTCCCCCAAGGGCATCATCCACCCATTTCTCATGTCCACCTAACGCTGCGCCTCATGCACATGCACCTAACACATGTGTTTCCTGAGAGCACATTCGTGCCACCGTGGAAGGAGAAGCCATGCACACTGCTGCCACTCACCTTGTGAAAGTTTCCTCTTTGCTAGAGAATCAGGCACAACCTTTGAGTCTTGGTGATGTGTGCTGTGCGTTTGTTCACTCTAACCCTGGAAAACTGAAAAGGCAATTGTTAGCCAAGTATCTGAATACAAGTGTTCATAATGCACAGTGTCCTACTAAAGCCCTGAAACCAAATAGTTGCTCTCCTCAACAAGCAAGTCTTAGTTATTCGGGTGTGGACAACACTCAAGCAACCGTGTCAGGCCCAGTGCTGTGGTGTAGCAGGTAAATCTGCTGCCTGCAGTGCCTGCATCCCATACAGGCTCTGGTTCAAGTCCCAGCTGCTCCACTGCCCATCCAGCTCTCTGCTATGGCCTGGGAAAGCAGTAGAAGATGGCCCAAGTCCTTGGGCCCCTGCACTCATGTGGGAGACCTGGAAGAAGCTCCTGGCTCCTGGCTTTGGAATGGTCCAGCTTCAGCCATTGTGATCGTTTGGGGAGTAAACCAGAGGATGAAAGATACTCTCACTCTGTCTCTCTCTCTCTCTCTCCCCATCTGCCTCACTGTAAACTTTCCCTTTCAAATAAATAAAATAAATCTTTTAAAAAGAAAGAGAAATTGTGTCCGTGTTTGAACTACAGGAAAAGTGTGTCCCTCAACTGAGGTACATTAAAAAAAAATCTCTGCAAGTTCAAACAGAAAAGGCTGTTTTAAACCTTCAATACAGCAATGAGCCTAGACCATTCCAAAGATCCCTGGACAAAAGTGAACAAATACTCAGCAAAATGTTGTTAATGCATGTGCTTTTCGAGCAAGAGAAAGGGACCACAGATTCCATTCATACTTTCAGCTATGTTCTCACACAATATACATGAAGACACACCGGTCTAGGCCCCAAGAAAAGTCTCATGTGAATTCAGATAAAGCTATCTCAAAGTATTTTGCAAATACAGGCAAGACTTGTTCTCTTGCACCATCCATAAAAGTCAACAGAATAACATTAACTGGATTCTCTTAGTAAAAGAGTCTCATATGGGGTCTCGCTCCGATCTAGAGGAAAGACCTTCCAAAGTGCAGGTGCTGTTTCGGATAGCTGCCTGTCATTTTACCAACAGTATGCATACAAGCCTTTGCGAGTTCGGTATTTTCTCTCAGCCTAAGCTTTCCTGTTTACTTTTTTCATGTGGTTATTATGGGAGTATAGCTTGTCTGAATTTTGTTCCTTGGTGTGGAGGGACTTCAGTTGTTAATGTTTGTTTATTGCTTAGAATGAACCACACATTATGAGAAAAACAAGTAATTATAGGTGAACGGTGCAAGCTCCGCAGTCAGAATGGGGCCAAAATCTCACTCAATTTATCTTCCTGTGCCTCTCTTTTCTCATCTGCAGAACGGAGATATAATAATGATAGTCTCTGCAGCACAGAGCTCACCCACAGTGCCTGTCATACATTAAGTGGACAGATGCAACCTATTATTACGACCATGCAGATTTGCCTATGTACTCGTAAGCATGAGAAGTGCATATCCCATTTCCCTATGATTGCACAGCTCTCATAAATGTTTCATGGCCCTTGGTACGCACTGCCCAATGAGTTTCCTGAAGGGTCTTGCCAACATACTCTCCCAGCAATGTGAGCCTGTTGGTTTCACCACTGCTTGGAGTACAAAGAGAATTAACATTAACTGGGAATTTTTTAAAAAGTGAAAAAAGACAATGGGGAGAAAAGGGAAGCAGGAAAGGGAAAAAAATTAAGTAACAACAACAACAAGAAAACCTTTGTGCAAGCAAGCTACTGTGTAGGGAAATAAACATTCCATGAGTACTGTCAACCGTGGCATCAGCCAGTCTCCTTTATGCAAATTACGAATGCATCCTAACACACCTCTCAGAGCCCCCAACCCGCAGTCACGCACCTTGTGGCTTCCTGGCTCAGAGAAGTAGCAGGAGGAAGAGCAGTGTCCTGGCCTGGTTTTCCGCCACCAGGGCCAGGGATTCATGGCTCACCCTGGGTAGGGAGCTGGTGCAGGCAGGCCCACTCTTTGGAAACCCGGGGAAGCCAATTGATAAATATTCTTCTCACGAGGTGGAAAACAGCACGGAGTGGCACAGTCCAGGTCCGGACGCAAGTCAGGGAAGGTGTAACTCAATGAGGCATGTCACCTGAGCTCAGAGGGGAGCTCTCTGGAGGACCAGTTGGTTCGTGCAGCTTTTGAAGAGACCGAAGAATAACTGGGAAGGGAGGAACAAAGAAAAGCAGGAGAGAAAGGGAAACTTTGGCCTCTGGGAGTGAATTCATGGCCTGGGCAAGCATTGGGAGACTGACAAAGCTGAAATCGAAATTTTCTAACTCGAGGAGCCCAGCTGGAGACTTCTCACTCTTTCCTGCCCTCTGGTTCTCTTGAAAAGCTTGTGAGGAGGAGTCCCTGTGGGTGGTGCTTTCGGGCACCCGGTCTGACCTCCCCACTCATCCCACACCCTCTGAGGCCTTAGCAGGTCCTGGCTCCCCGACGGTGGAGGCTGAAATCATGGTCGTGCCCTTTCTCCATGTGTGGCATTGCTGTTGACTCTCAGATCTGGTGCTGGCTGAATGGCTGGAAGGCATCCATTGCTCCGAAGCAGGGAGCTTGGCATAGCGTTCTGTCCTGGCTCCCCTGACACCCTCACACCCTGGTATGAAGCATACCTAGAAGACTCATTCTCCCAGCACTTACCACCCATGTAACCCCATGCAGGGAATTAACCTCTCCAGACCTCAGCTGCCTGGCCAGTTAAGCCTTGCAGAGGCTTAAAACAAAATAAAACAAATGTTGTATTTGTTAATTTCTACTTGAAAGGTAGAGCCACTGAGAGGGAAGGAGATGGAGAGATAGAGAAAGAAAGAGAGATCAGGGTTGGAGCTGTGGCACAGCTGGTTAACGCCCTGGCCTGAAGTGCCAGCTTCCCATATGGGCGCCGGTTCTAGTCCTGGCTGTTCCACTTCTGATCCAGCTCTCTGCTATGGCCTAGGAAAGCAGTAGAGGATGACCCAAGTCCTTGAGCCCCTGCACCCACGTGGGAGACCCGGAAGAAGCTTCTGGCTCCTGGCTTTGGATCAGTGCGGCTCTGACCATTGCGGCGATTTGGGGAGTGAACCAGCGGATGGAGGACCTCTCTCTCTCTGACTCTACCTCTCTCTGTAACTCTACCTTTCAAATAAACAAAATAAATCTAAATAAGAAAAAAAGAAAGAAAGAGAGATCTTTTGTTTGCTGGTTCACTTCCCCAAGTGACCACAACAGCCAGGGTTGGCCCAGGCTGAAGCCAGGAGCCAGGGACTTCATCTTGGATTTCCCATGTGGGGGGCAGGGGCCCGAGACCTGAGCCATCATCTGCTGCTCCCTGGGATGCATTAGCAAGAAGCTTGATCAGAAGCAGAGCAGCCAGGGCTCAAACCTGCATTCCTCTATGAGATGTGGGCATTGTAAGTTGTGACTTAACCTGCTGAGCCACAAAGCCTGCCCCAGGCTTTTTTAAACACACACTCATTTTTGTGCAGTTGAATGTTTGAAAATCAATTACTCCTCTCCATGTTTATAGCTCACAAGATGACTTTTGAAAAATCAAGAAAGAAAGAGATTTCTTTTTTCCTCTCCAACAAAAAAAGGCAATTAAACATCAAATATTAACTGGTCCTGGGAGTAAATTTTTTTAATGGGTTAAAGACTTGGCCATTATAGACCTCCAATATGTAATTTTTAAGAAAGGACCAGGTAATATATGTTTTTAAATTAAATGGAAGATGAAATGCCAGAGCCAGTGTATCTATTCAGAAAGCACTTTTTTTTTTATCCATTTTCAGTAGCTTCCCGATTGCATCATGCCTTTTAAGTGGCCCAATTTGTTTAACAGCACTTTATTTTAAACCTTCACTTGCGAAAAGCATTGATTTATGATAGGGCTGATGAAAGCAATGGTGTCTTAAGCAATAATGATTTCAATTACAGGACTTCCACCAATGTGCATTATTCTGATTTGCCTTCCATTCTTTCCACATTTTTATTCACTAAGGAAGGGGCATGGATAGGTGATGTAATTTTGAAAAGTCCCTGGACAAATTTAATATCAGAAAAGAATGTATAGACAGATGGACTGATGAGCCTTTTTTGATTATGTGAATGTATTGTATTTTAATATGCTCTGACAAACTCCCAAACAGCTCCCCAAAGAGTTCCTACTCGATGTCATTAGGGTTATTTAGTGCCTGGATCCTGCTCAGTTCCCGCTGGAGCCACTGAAGAGGTGGGTATGTGCTCTGCAGTCCCCGCAGGCCTAGCGCTCAGAGCTTTGCTGCCTCTTTCCGTGGGGCTGGAGAAAACAAAAGCTCGCCCTTAGCTCCTTAACTCATTCCTACCCAACAATGACAGAAACGCACGCTGAATCCTGAGACTGCACCTCAGTCAGTAAGAAAGTGAACTCAGTCTGGAGTCAAAAGCAAGGGGCTTCGCCTCGCTCATCTCGTGCAGAACGCAGCCGAACACAAGGACCTCCTGTCCTGCTCCCTCCTGGTGGCAGAATCTGAAGGAGCCCTGTCTGATGGGATAGCTACTAATTGCCACCACATGCGGTCATGGGCCAAGCAGTGCCACAGCTTCAGATGTCTGAAAGCAATCGAGAACTTCCTATCATTGTGTGAAATTGAAGTGTCTCAGGTTTTAAAAGTCAAACGAACACTGACCAGATCCAGCCTGGACCACCTCTCTCAGGCGCCTCGGTGGTACCCAAGGGGCGAATCCATCTGGACCTGGAGAGGCGATGGCACAGCAGGGCCAAAGTTCAGCAACAATGGTTTCCAGATTACCAACGTGCATCGGTCCTGCTATTTCATAGACACTTTATGGAAATCTATTATCTGCTAGGAGTCATGGGATGACCATTGGAAACCCCCTACAAAAAGGAAGAATACCCATCATCTGCCTTTAAGACAGTGGAGTCTTAAGACAGCTAAGAGTCTAACACCACACGTACAACATGTGAACGATTCCAGGTATAAACAGGGAAGGAGAAACACAATGACATCGTGAACTTCAATCTGCCACATTTGCTGCTAGCTGAGAGTCTCCTTTGTTCCCCTGCAAGGTGGTTGGTTCCTCCCTGTGCTCTGCTTTGATGCCCCATTCTAATTTAAGAATCATTCCTGGACGGCGCTGCGGCTCAATAAGCTAATCCTCCACCTGTGGCGCCGGCACATGGGGTTCTAGTCCCAGTCGGGGCGCCGGATTCTGTCCCGGTCGCTCCTCTCCCAGGCCAGCTCTCTGCTGTGGCCCGGGAGTGCAGTGGAGGATGGCCCAAGTGCTTGGGCCCTGCACCCCATGGGAGACCTGGAGAAGCACCTGGCTCCTGGCTTCGGATCAGCGAAGTGCACAGGCCGCAGTGGCCGTTGGGGGGTGAACCAATGGAAAAGGAAGACCTTTCTGTCTGTCTCTCTCACTGTCCACTCTGCCTGTCAAAAAAAAAAAAAAAAAAGAATCAGTCCTGTGAACAGAGTCCACATAGGATACATTCCCAGTAAAATCCCCAGCAGCAACTGGAAGCGAAAATTACAATCACACCTTGATTAAGTTTTCCTTTATCAAATCAATGTTAAAGATTTCCTAATTAGGTGCTGGCCCTTATATGATTTAAATCCAGCTCTTAATCTTACCTATCCTGTGCTGCTGTAGTTTTTAATGAGAGGTGACTAGTGAATGCTCTGTGCATTAATCTCTCTAGAAAATCACCTTAATAGTTTATTAATTTTTTTTTACTTTTTAAATGTATCTGACGATGGCCCTGTAGGGAGAAGCCATTTTTTAAATTATTTGTTAATTCAATTTATTTGAAAGACAGAGACAGAGATCTCTCATCTACTGGTTCACTCCCCACGTGCGCAGAACAGTCAGGGCTGGCCAGGAGCTGGGAACACGATCCAGGTCTTCCTTGTGGATGTCAACAACTCAACCCAGTCTATCACCACTGCTGCCCCGGGTCTGCGCTGGCCACCAGCTGGAACCAGGAGTGGCTGCAGGACGTGAACACAGATGCTCCAGCATCCCAGCTGGCATCTTCACCACTACACCAAACACTCACCACGTTAGCTGTTTTTGGAAAAAAGATGAAATAGAAGCCCCAAGATGCAAATGAAGGCATCTGGGTCCATGCAATAGATTTTGTGGCTTAGTACTCGAAAAATTATACACCAAATTCCATTGCAGAAGAAAGATCAAATCTGAGATTCTTTCTTTTAAACTGTTATCATTTCCCATACCCTTCCTGGAAGGGCCTTAAAAGTGCTTCCACGGAAATGGACCCCTTTTCTCCTCCTTTCAAATAGACTCTTGCCTTCCATTACCTTTTCCAGTGGCACTGCCCAGAGCTAAAGGTTTCAAACATCACGACTATGGGCAGGAAATAGAAATAGCCAAAGTAGGTGGTGCCCTGTGCTAAGAACTGAGCACTGAATGGATTTAAACACCACATCTGATACATTCTGTACCTGAACAACAGGCAATTATACTAGACCTCGTTTCCTTCTCTGAATAAAATTGCCAGGTAAACCTCAGTCCCCCTGCCCTTCCTCTCCTTTTTGGCCCATCCCCATGGAAACCTCGTCCATTTCTTCCTCCTGAGCTTTAAATCACAGGTAACAGGCTGTACCTGCTCAGGGCACCTGATGCAGCTGAACATCTGAGTGGCTGGCAGTTTGAAAAGGTCACTGACCTTCCCTGTTAGAGGCTGATCTTCTCCAGAGGAGAAAAGCAGAGATAGAGTGACTGGCTCAGGGTCACACGGTTGGTCCCCACGATTTGTTCCCTAGCATTCTCTTCACTCCTCTCTCAGCCATTGTTATAAATAACGGATCTCAAACTAGGATTTTACTGAAATCTCACCTTAAATGCTAGTTCATTATAGGCTGACTATCCCTAATTCAAAATTTTAAAACCCAAAATTCATCCAAATCCAAAACATGTTGCCAAAGGGTAAATTTCCACACTTTACCTCATGTGACAGGTCACAAAGAGCAGGTGTGCTAAATTATACCAATGCACAAGGTATGCATGAAACATAAATAAATGAATAAATTATCTCATATTTAGACTTGAGTCCCATCTACAAGAAACCTCTGTGTATGTTTTCAAGTAGTCCAAGATCCAAATCCCCTCTGTTCCTAAGCATTTAATGTAAGGGACACTCAACCTGGAGGGAATTTTGGC